ATGTTCTACCCTAGCTTTTTTTCTGGTTCCCGGTTTTCGAAAACCTCGCCTCGAGGGTGAACGTGGGGCTCCGGGGCCCGAGTTTCCCCTTTGTCGGAGTGCCCGGCGAATTCTGCGCGTTCCAAGCCCCGGTGCAGAACTCGTTAGCCTTGAGAGGAAAACTGTCTCAAGAAGTAACCGCTGCCGAATCGTGGCCGAACGTGGCCCCTCTTTCGTCGTCGGCGAGTCCAACTTAATGTCTTCGGACCAGATTTGACAATGGCGTTATGAGCCCAAGTTCGCCCCAAGACGACTTGCAGTGCCGACCGCTCTCTCTTGCAATCTCATTATCTATCCTCGAGTCCACACTGGGCCGGCCGCACGGTGGATCCAGTTGAGTAGAGAGGTCGCACATGAAATTTTTGACTAAAACTGCAAATGGACCACTAGACAAGGTACGAATTTAAGCATTCTAATACATGTTTCCGAACCAGAATTTCACATAGAACACGATTTGCGCAACGAAAATTACTGAAATCAACTCCTAAGGAAGATATTAACGTTTTTATTTCACATTGGTTATGAGGAATTTGAAAGGCCCGCTCAAAAGAAACTCAAAGCTCTACGTAAGTCAAATCGCGCACCACAACGGTTTCAGCGAGCCTCTCAATCGAGCAAACGTTCATTTCTCACCATGTGTTGTTCAAACTATAAGCAATTTGCTATAGCTGAGCCAAACTGTCAAGATTGAGGTTTCCAGATTTTTATATCGCAAAGACTATCATGATGTACGTTTAGCGCGCGATGTGAATCACGTAGAGCATTGAGTTTTCATGAGCGGGCGGTTTGAATTCACGCATCATGAATCATTACATATCTTCGTAAGGAGTTGATTTCGGTAACTTTTGCTATGCGCATCGCATTTTACGTGAAATTCTGGTTTAGAAACATGTATCAGAATGCTGAAATTCGTACCTAGTCTAGTGGTCCACTTTGGTGTTCATATCGTCACATTTTACTTCTCAGGGAGTGCTTTAGATAGAAAATTTCACGAGGAAACTAATGGAACCACTTTTATAACCTCGAAGTTTTGCACAGACGGAGTTGGAAGCTTTTAAAGTTTCCAAATGTTGTCCTACCGCTCCCATCGATTCGGTCCACTGTGGGTCGTGCCCGGGCCGACGTGTCGCCTCACTTCAACGCCGTGAATCCAGTCTGAATATTTTCAACTTTTCCCGGCGAATAAAGATAACCAACGAACTTTCATTCTTGGTATTTTTAGGAAGGCCGTGGCAATCCAATGAAAACTCACAATCAGTTAAAAAAATGAGAAATGGTACTTATCGACTTGTTTCGTAACAGAGCAGTTTGTGCAGAGGACGTTAATGTAAAATCTAGGATGATGTAACAAGTGGCGAGTTGTGCTAATCGACTATGGATACGATCCATTTGAAGCTGCGGTTAAGAATCGAATATTATGGTGCTCGTTGCGAACGCCCTGATAATCGATCTTGTTTTATAAATTTGAATGGCGCGTAAACGATACATCGCAATGCACGCCACGCCATTGTATGCTTTTAACGGTAGTATTAGAAAAAGGTATTTTTTAAGAGAAAATATTCGTAACTCTCCTAAGGAAATCAACATTATGTCGGAGTAAATTTGGCAATTCTCAAATGTTATAAAGCGGTTTTCCTCAGCACGGTAGAAATGCCCGTTGAATTCCAATCATTCTACCAAAAAATTATTTGTTTGTACTTTTTTCCTTATACATTTCCTCGGGAGCTCCTTTCCCCTTTTTTATATTTATAGGGGGCATTAATTTTAAAGAAAAAAAGGTTAGGTAAATACGAAACTGGAACGGCTTTCATGAAATACGTCTGCAACGGTTTTACGTTTCATAAATCGTTGAGCATGAAGAAACTGCTGAATCTGGCGAATAGGAAACTGTTGATATGGGTGACCTAATATCCGCAGTAAGGTTAGCGTCGTTTGTGCGAATGCGTCTGCACCTGGTGTCGCCGTTGCCGGTGACATCTGGCGGCGCCGATCCGCAGTGGGGACCCCTAAATTTCTGCAGGAATCCCTGTGAAAAAGGTCGAGTCCTGCTGGACTTGCAACACAGGGGGCATCTGCGCATGATTGCCGAATTTGTAGACGAAACGGAATCGCATCAGACGCCTCTGAGCCAACGAGAGCGCGTTCCTCGCAAGGACTAAATATTTTAGAGCGGGCAGGGATGGCGATTTTTTCAGATAAATCGATTTCGCGAAATCGATTTGATTTTCGGATAAAAATCGACTCCATTTTTGTGCAGGGTCTCTCGAAAATATCGTGAACAACACTGGAAAAAAACACATTGGATCTAGAGTCCAGACTCTTATAAACATCGACAGGAAAAAGTACCCTTGATTCAGTCAGAATCTAGCTTAAATCAAGAGCCAAGCCTCTTTATTTAAGCGGATTTCGTTTTGATTCAAGCAAAAATCCGATTGAATCAGGAGTATTTTTTCTTGTCAATGTTTTCAAGAGTCTGGACTCTAGATCCCATGTGTGTGTTTTTATCCAGTGAAGATTGACCAAAGCTTTTTTCAGTTAAAGCGATGACGATTTGAATTGATTCTCGGAGGTGACTTTTGCACCGTGAACAGCGACTAGGTTCGGGATCTCTCGAACAAAATTCGTTTTTGGGTCTGCTGGGATGCTAAAAAGTGTCACAACCGGAGCGAGCGCACGGTCACGCGAAAAAAAAGTCGAAACACGCAATGAGTCCTCGACGGCGATAAAAAATGAGGCAGAGAGATAGAGAGAAAAAGAAAAGCAAGCGCCATTTTGATCCCGTTTTGGGAACTCCCGCGGAATAAAAGTATGTCACATTCGATAGGGTGAAATCTGCGTCGCATGATTCGCGAGCCACGGAGCCACCACGGTTGAACAGGCCAGATGTTGAGCGAGATCGCGAAGGAACGCACATACAGAGCGGCCTTACCCAGTGGCGTGGCGTGAAATGCGATATATCGATTGTTATGCCATTTAAACCTATGGGAAAAGATCGATAAACAGGGTGTTCGCACCGAACACCTTAATAATCGATTCTTTACCATAGGTTTAAATGGCATGACAATCGATACATCGCAATTCACGCCACGCCACTGGCCTTACCGTCACTACCCTGACGTTTGGGCTAAGCTGCCGTGCTAACGAAAAACCCCGTATGAGCCTTCAGACGTTGCCAAGTTTCCTCCGATAAAAACCGAACTTACTGGGAAAATTGTGAGTATTATTTTCCAAAATTTTCAGACAATTTTGCACGCAATTGAATCTCAAATATCTGAAAATTTCAAGGGAAAATACGCATGAATGTTGTCAAAAATACATGATTTATCAAGGGAAATTTGGCAAGTCTCGAATGTTCATACGACGTTGCCAAATTTCCCTCGACAAATCACTAATTTTCAGGAAAATTTGTGATTATTTTTCTTCCAATTTCTCAGATAACTTTGTTCGTAATTTGATCTGAAGTGTCTGAAAATTTCAAGGAAAAATATTCATAATTCGTCACCTTCCAGGCAAAGTATCACAAGCGCCATGCAACGTTTAAAAATTTCCGCCGCCATTTTATTTTTTTACTGAGAAATTGTTGGTTGAATCTGTTTGGAAATTTCATTAAATTTTATCGGCAGCACAAAGAAAATTCAGTGAAATTTTTGAACAGCTTCGTTGAAGAATTTCTCTGTAAAAAAATATAATGGCGGTGGAAATTTTTAAACGTCGCATGGCGCTTGTGATACTTTGCCTGGAAGGTGACGAATTGTTCTCAAAGATAAAAATTTTATCGGATGAAATTTGGCAACTCTCGAATGTTCATGCGGCGTTCTTCCTTAGCACGGCAGAGTAGGGCATATTTCGATTTCCGCATGAGCTTCAGAGAGCATGTATGTATAATGTAAAAGAGGGCTCACGTGAGAGTCGAGATACGCCCTTACGTCAGAGGGACGACGATACATAGCCATTTAGTGGGCCAACGTATCCAGCATCAAACTCAACGAGGGCTCAAATTCGTCAACTAAGCGCCCTGCGCAAAAATTAATTGTGCCTTCAACCGAAGCTCCGCTGGATCCTGGACAGTAGCAAAGCGCGAATGATCGATCATCGATAGTTCCCCATTTGAAACTGTGGTAAAGAATCGATTATTAAGGTATACCCTGTTTATCGATACTTTTCCATAGGTTTAAATGACAGATCAATTTATACATCGCAAAGCACGTCAGGCCACTGATCCTGGATCAAGTTTCGGTGCCTTTATTCATGGTTATTCCTTTAACAGTTCCTTTCCTTAGGAAGCCCAAGGAGGTTTCCAGTGTGATAAAAAGAGGATCAAGAAGATCCAAAATACATGATCCAATCAAAAGGACCAATTTAAGAGGTCTCGAGTAAAACACAACTGCCAAACTTTAGAGCCTTGGAAATAATTACAATCATTTGCCACCGGAAAAAAGTAAAAAAATAAATGGAAAAACTTTCTATGGTTTTGACAAATTTTAAGGTAGGGATACCTATCTTAAAATTTACGAAACCGACAGCTTTTTTTCTTTTATTTTTTCAATGTTCTGCGGAGGCAAAGCTTTGTATACCTTTCAAAGTAAGTGTTATACATAAATATTAAAAATTGTTTCAATAATCGGCTGGCAGTGGTGTTGCTGTTGATCCCCTCGAGTACATTTTGCTTTACCGGTTCGTACTGCCTCGTAGCAAGTGCGGAGACCTTAAAATATTTTGTGCTCGTTCTTACATTAGACATGACTCGAGAGGCGTGCTCGGTAAACTGCTGGCGTTTTCATCTTCGGTGCCCCTTCGTTTTAATTGGACGTATTTCTGCCAAACGGAACTATGTTCTTTCAGACATGAGCCCTGAGACCCCTAAGAATATATGCATAAGAGGGCTCACGTCGTAATGCACATAATTCCGTAGCAGAAATACGTCCAATTGAGCTAATGAGAGAGTGAAATGTGAAGCTTACCGATTAGGTTGTTGGCGGTGACGAGGACGCAGCAGAGAAAGAGGATGGCAGTGGTAATTCGGTAATGTGCTCGGAAGACCATGTTGTCGATGACCGCTTTGTCCATCAAGTATCGGACCTTGATGAACCCGGCCACCGAACTCACTAGCGCTAGCACCGACATCTTGCCTTCAACACACAAATTACATACAACATTAGAAAATGGCTAAACTCATCACCAAATGCATCAACTCTATTGTAACCTGAAACCACCAACGATATAGAAACTGTAGATTGGTGGTGGCCTACGAAAAAGCGTGACACGCATGGAGCGGTCGTTTCATAGGCGGGCGGGTAGTGGAAATTAGAGTACCTTTATAGACAGAGTATGGCCATTCGTATCTTTTTACTACAGGAAAACTGTTCCGCTTTTTGATTGGTCAACGAGTTTTTAGGCTTCATGATGCTCTTAGGGCCGTATATAAACAAACAAGATGGCGGCTCACCGTAACATCGATAAGAAGCTAAATTTGACAAAAATTTCAATTATGCGGCAGTAACAATTTAAACTAGCATATCAACGAATATCACACGAAAAACAAATGAAAACATTATTAAATCGCCTTTCACCTTTATCACAGGAGGATGTAAGATGTGCATAACCTCAATCTTGCTTGCTAATAACAGCCATCTTGTTTGTTTATTTACGGCCCTAAGAGCATCGTGTCAGCCTATTTTCACGCGACCAATGAAAAACCGGAACAGAAATGGCCATACTCTGTCTATAAAGGTACTCTAGTGGAAATGGCCAATTGCTATCTTCGTCATAACCTCAAGCACGTAGGATCCTTTGGGAGTTTTTGCAATAAATGATTTAGCGTTGAAATTTTCATCGTATCATCGGGTCACGTCAAAATGCACACAGTTCCGTCTGGCAGAAATACGTCCATTTGAGCTACCGAAGAAAAAACCGAGAAGAAAGAACCGTAGCTCCATAAACTTTTTTTCATTCCAACACTGGTAAAAAAAACCTCTTGGTTCAAAAGTGCAGTTTCTTGTCGCCGGATTTAAGAGTCTGGACTCTTGTTTCAATGCAAAATCCGCTTGAATCAATGCAAAATCCGCTTGAAACAACAGTTCAAGACTCTTAAATCCGGCGACAAGAAACTGCACTCTTAAGTCAATGTAATGCGGCATTGGTCCAAGAGGTTTTTTTTACCAGTGAATCCTCTCATATCGTGATCAACGAAGAAGGCCCTTCTCTCTGGACTGAGTTTCGTCGTTGGGAGCTACTGGATTATCCCAACATAGTAATATCCCTATTTAAGTACTCGCAATGTAAAGCTCTTGTAGCACGAGGCCTGTTCTGCCATGATAGCGAAGAGAGCAGTAAGTGCATGCTGGGATGAACCACGAGACACATAAAAGCATGTGCTCATCATGGTTCATACAGAAATGCACTTACTGCTCTCTTCGCTATCATGGCAGTGTTATGTGCTCAGTGCAAGGACTCGTAACCTCAGCATTCTTGTTAAACGGTGTCATAGACGGAGAGAACTAGAGAAGGGCCTGAGAAGGTCCAAAGGGGGAGGAGCGTGGAGCAAACCCGTGAGCTGCTAGCCTGTTACTCCTCGAAAAGGCCGAGCGAACTGCAAACTGCACTGTCATTTGCATCGTAAGCTTGTGTGCCCCGTGTCCTGCAGTGTTCGCGCAAGTTACAACACCTCCATTCCGAGGCCTTGATGCACTCAGGGTTTGATTGTTCTATTCCTGCAGCTGCTCTCACATCACCGTTGCCACACATTTACCCACCTAATTTTTTCCCCCTCTTTTTTTAATGTACGATGAAAAAAATATGAATGCACTCGGTTTACGATGTGGGGCTCCTGAAAATTAAGATGCTTCAAGTATGGTGAAAGGGAATGCATTTATTCGTTTTACGATGCACTGGATAAAAAATTCGCTTGGATTTAGAGTCCAGACTCTTGAAAACAATGACAAGAAAAAATACTATTGATTCAATCGGGTTTTTGCTTGAATCGAAAGGAAATCCGCTTAAATTGAGAGGCTTGGTTCTCGATTTAAGCAAAAATCCGATTGAATCAAGCGTATTTTTTCTTGTCATTGTTTTCAAGAGTCTGGACTCGAAATCCAAGCTACTTTTTTTCCAGTGTGTGTGGGGCTCTTGAAAATTAAGACGCTTTAAGTATGATGAAGGGGAATGAATCCATTCGTTTTTACAATGTAGGGCTCCTGAAAATTAAGATGCTTGAAGTATGGCGAAAGGGAATGCATTTATTCGTTTTACTTACAATGTGGGGCACCTGAAAATTACGATGCTTCAATTATGATGAAGAGGAATGAATCTATTCGCTTTACCTCCAGTGTGGGGCTCCTGAAAATCAAGAAGCTTGAAGTATGATGAAAGGGAATCAATTCATTAGTTTTACAACGTGGGGCTCCTGAAAATTAAGAACCTCAACGGAGCCTGTGCAAAGTCTTGAGATCAGCATTTCTATCGGTGATTCACGAGAAACCAGATGCCATTAGTTTTGCCCGACTCAGGGGTTCTCAGAGTTTTGTACAAGCTTGGGTCTGGATTTTTGGAAACGCCAATCAGAAATAGGAAGAGATTTTTGCAAGCTGTAACTTCTCCAGCATCATTTCATATGCCTTCGTATTTTGCATGAATGAAAATTGTGACAAATAGAGAGAAGTCTGACACTCGTGTGGGATGCTTAGCTTTGAAGAGGGGCAGTTTGTGATTGATGTAGGTCAAGGCTGAGGTCTGATTCAGGGAATGACTCGGCGCGCGATCCACCGGAAGAATCTGTTATCGCAATTTTGTTGCAATGCATTTTACTCTTTTTTCTGAACATAATCGAACTATACCCATTAAAACGAATCAAGCAAATCGCTTAACGGGTGTTAAGGATTCGTCTCCCCATACTATCGTCGCAACAATTGGTAATTTACTCTACCAAGAGGTCAACGCTAAAAGTAATGATAAAAATAATAGCCCTTTCAGCTCCCTACTATTAGGACCGGGCCTCCTCCTCTCATTAATGCTTAAAGTAATGTAATGAAAATATAACGGAATGGACCAGGAGACAAGATAGGTGAGAATTAGGAGATTAAACGACATGTATCCTCATTAAGGTTTCATGCAGAAAAACCATCGTCCCAAAATTGTTTTATGAGTGAAAAATTAACGTTCAGATGAGTAGTTCACGTTGTACAATAATAAATTCAAACTCTCGGGTCATGAAAAAACTACAAGAACCTTCGGTAAAATCAGCCATTTAAATAACTGGATCATGGTTTCACACACACTTCCTTCCTTCTCTGATACATAGCCCCTTTAATGTAAAAAACCAGCAAAAAGAAAAATTCTTTAATCGAAAAGTATACCGAAATTATTTTAGTGTTCTAGGTGACGTGAGTAGAGACTGGGACTTTTTTAGTACGTGAGAAGTGTAAATTGACGAACACAAAAAACACTATTTTCCAACGTATGAGTTAAATTCAATATGTCCATCGGAGTCAACGTGAAATTTTAATGGGGAAACATGTTTAGTGTACAAGTATTATGGTGCTCAATTTCGTAGTGATTCCATTATATACGAGTCCCTTCATCCTAAAACCGCGAATACCACGAGTCCCCTCCTCTGAGCCCGGTTTCCGATCCGCATTTTTGAGCGAATCCTGCTCGGTGCAGTCTCGCATCAGCTCAGGTGACGTCATCAAGTTTGGAGACACAAAAGTGTGCCACCGTTATTCTACACTCCTCATACGCGACGCGCGCGGGTCACGGTATCCGGATCGCCTGGATTTGTTTTATTTCGTTTGTAGCTTTCAGGATGAATTGGTCGCACTGTGGGAAAATGCTGAGATTTTGTCGACCCGTGTTAGAACTAGAGTTCGTTTTAAGGATTTGTGGGAGAGCTGAGCTGTGGGAGAGCAGAGTTGTGGGAGAGCAGAGTTGTGGGAGAGCAGAGTTGTGGGAGAGCAGAGAAAATAGAAAAATTTGAAAGGCTGAACGAGAGATTTGTATGGCACCCTAAATATCGACGCTCCAACCCAGGCATTGCGCGTTATTTACACTTTGAATGACACAGGGTGGGAAAGAAACACTGCTCCCTGAAAACAGGGAATAGGGAAGCAATAAAAAATTTGCTTGCAAATTTTCTATTGGCAGAACGCTTAAATTTGCACCTACTCTTATACCTAGATTTGCTGGATTTGAGTTCAGATGATTTCCAGCAAACAAATAATTCGAGCAGAGATTGGCACGTCGTGGACAACTTTTGGACACAGTGCGTGGCTAACGACCCGACGATTCGGTAATGGCTCGGCCCTGAGGCTTTCCTGCCGAAATCGACTTGGATCGGGCTCGTAAAAACAGAACTGGAGGAAAAAACGATGAGAGGAGAAGACCGTAAACCCGTTCGAAAGCGGTCGATCGTCGATTCTTGTCACTGATACACGCTGCGTGGCTCAATAAAATCGGAGACACCTATAGTTCTCTTTGTAAGTTGCCTCTTCACTATCCTGATATTCGCTGCTGGACTTACTCTACACGCTCGATTGCTCCTGGTAGATCGGGCGATGCTCTTTTTCTTTTTTTTTCTTATTTTTTCGGGCGGGTAATTCGGCAGGCCGCTGCCGAACGGGGGTCGGTAGCTGGATGGGCTAACTACTGGCCTTGAGAGGAAAATTGATGGTGTTTAATACGTTCGCGGAGCAAAGGGCGATGCCGTTCCTTTTTCTACCGAATTAAGCTACACGTAACTTCATCGAGAGGTTTATGCTATGTTTAGACTGATTCTGTGTTACTAATCCTCAGTTTTCCATAGTGATCATCTCAGTCCCACATCATGCAGAATGTGCATACCGGCAACGAAAAACGTATCGATGATGGAGAATGCTATTTTTTTCTTCTTTTTTTTCAGAACATTCATAAGTGATTTTGCGTCTCTAAATTCTATCACGAGTTTTTTTCTCTCTAAGAATCTGTTTTGCCGTCACAACATTCGAGTTTTTATGCATTGTGCAAAAAAGCCGGTTTTCCCAAATTTGAACGGCATCCCCTCTTTGCAAAATCCGAAATTCGTTCGGTAGTATCAATCCACAAGATGGTCGGAGTGCCGGCGAAAAATTCGCAAGTTTTTGTCATCTTTGGTTTTTTT